GCCACTGCTGAGTTGACAGCACATGCAGCAATGCCAGAGCTGGCAGAAACGATGCTGAACACAGCTAGTGGCTACTAGCCACCTTAAAGCAACAGCACCAAGCATTTCCTTGACCCAGTGTCTAATGGCATCAACAGTAAAAGTTCTGTGTACAGTGCTCTTCGTCAGAAGCACAGCAAATACTGAAAAACAACTCCCTACTCCCTGCTTTCCCTTTGTCTCAGACTGCTGTGGTGCCGGATTCGCAGGGGTTGGAACAGAGAGCAGCCAGAAGTCACAGCCCTGGGAAGGCAGCACAACAGCACGGACACAGCACATGCCAGCACTGACCACACTCCAATTAAGCATTACAGATTAATGGTGAAGAATGTCATACCTCAAAGCACATAACAGATTTACATCACAGTTTATACAAACAGCTGAATAACATTCCAACAGCCTTAACATTCACACGTGCACAAAAAGAAGGCAAAAACAATCAGATCTACCAGAATATGGAATGGCAACAACAGCAATTTGCTCGTTCATATTTTAAGAACACTGAATTCTCAACTCTGGTGTCATTAGATTAAAAACTAGGTATTGTATATATTAACCATACAATAGCTTATACAACTCATAACCATAAAAAAAAGTATTTCCAATAAAATTGTTTATATAGTATTTCAAGCACAGTTTACACTTCCCAAACAGTATAGGGCAAACTACTACATTTGTACTAAAGGAACTGAAGCAGCTGTTGCTCCTCCCATGGCATCACACTGCCTAAAAGTAACAAGGACTTCAGCACATCCTATAGCATCCAGAGCTACTTACTGACAAAAATGGGAAAGCATTTCTACTAAATTGAGGCAAAAATAAACCATAATATTGAGCCCAATTAATTTTTTCATTGGCACAGTAGAAATTAACTTCTCATACAGCTATTCTGCTAAGAGGCAAGGTGGAGACTCACTTTGGAGATGGAAGAGCTGGTAGGGAATACAGACTCCTACTTCCAGCTACGACCACAGCTCAAAACACAAAGAGCTATTAGTGGAAAATGGTTCCTTTAAGTCATTCCTATACATTTCCTACTACTGAAGATTTTCTTACTACCTGCCAGTTCCTTCCACCACTTTTGCTGCTATTGGTGGAATATAAGCAAGGCCTTTCTACTCTATGGCTCTGTGCAGGTGCGATTAAATCCACTTCCCAAAGTCCCTAAGTGGACTATCATGCCTCAGTTATAATTTCTCAGAATGAAAGTGCCAATAAGTGACTCCTTGGGGGCATCTCAACAACATGAACACAAAACACAGCAAAAAAAAAAATCATAGTAGCAGCAAGTAATTCACTCTTTGTGGAGGCAACTTGATTGCAAGACATTTCAAATATTTTAACCATGTGTCTCTGCCCAGGCTTAGGTCAGAAGTCAGAATAATGCACGGTCACCTGAGGAAAACAGCACTGGATGCAAATTAACTGGTCAAGTTAATCTTTTCTTTTTTGTTCTCATCACAAAATACCACAGCAAACAACCTAGGATGAGTAATTTGACAGTGTCACCTGCAGGGTAGGATGAGACAGTTGCTGGATCTGCAAGAACGTACATGCAAGGGCACACGTGTGAGAGTGGTGGGAGCTTGTAGGTATAGAACATAGCTTTGGGGAAAACCTGGCACAGAAAAAGTAGGTCAAGAGTGAGAGGTGTCACTAAAACTTCATGCAAAATTGAGGAGGTGGGAACTCAAAATTCAGCTACAGTTTGAGGGGATGTGTCATTTGCCTCATGAGGGAAGGTAACATAAGTCCTACAGGCTCCAAAATGCACTCAATGAGCTGTTTCTTTTACCTTTTTGTTCTACCCAGCATTTCTTCAAGAGCACTGTCATCTCTGGCTTTGGCATCCTACTCATCATCTATGAATTCATGTTGCCGTTTCCTTCCTGAAAGGAAAAAGTCCCATAGTCAGTCACCTGCTACACAGAGGAAAGGACAACTCTGACAGAATCTTTGCCACTACTGGAGTTTGAAGACCATTGCTCCTTGAGCAGACAGGACTGCAACTTGTGTTCTCTTCCAACATCATTTATCCTAAATTCTCTGAGCAGCCTGTGTTGACTCTAGAAACTTACCCCGACTTTACCTGTAAGCAGCTGAAAAGCAGCCAGTAACTCAGACACACCTGGAAAGAAGGAGCAGGACAATGACTCACCCACAGTAAAGAACTTCCAGCAACAAGAGAGGTTTGTGCCAAGCAAATGGCTTTATTTTATTTTATAGCATTCTGAAAGTGTTAATCTATAAGAAACAGAATTAATGCAACACTGAGAAAACACACAATGTTAGGGAAGCCTCCGTTTCAAATCACATGAGCCAAATTAAAAATAAAACTAGACAATCGTACAAAGAGGAGACAAAAAAATCAATTTTCTCAAAGAGATAACATGAGGGACTCCCGTAGGGGTTGGCAAATTCTGGAAGAGAGAAAGAGATTATATTTTATGGGAAGAGATTCAATAACCATTCTTTTCCCATAAAGCTAGTGATGGAGGATTGTCACTGCTCCATAGACACACCGTGCACATTTCAGGACAACAGTAACAGAAAATCAATAGCGCCTTTTATATGTGAAAAGACATTATCTCTATGGACTCCTAATACTAACAAATTGGGCCACGGAAGACCTGTACTAAAATCCAGCAGTCACCATTAATCTAGCTGTAGGAGAGGGGCAGCATCTTCGGATGTTTTGTTTTGTGTTTGTTTGCCTTCAAAGAAATAACTCAGTTCAAAGCTTTGCCTTTCACTGAAGCCAAAGAGCCCCCAGATGACACTACATTAAAGTCTAGCTAAGTTCAGCCCTGGCTCTGTTGCTCGCAAGCCCCATCAGCATACATTTCCTCTCCTCATTGGCTGTAATCATTAGGAGGGAGGAACTTTAACAGGTGGTAACTTGACAGCTTTGACAAGCTCGGCTAAATTGATGGCATCTTCTGCTTTTTCCCTCCACCGATCTGAGATAGACCCCAAATTAATATCAGCAAAAACACTGTGTGGGGCACATGTCCAGGGATGACTACAACCTGATTCTAGCAACCTGCCAAACAAGGCCCAGCGTGCACTGTCCACTTCCACCAGACTGAGGAAGATGGGCACCACTGAGCCCACCACCACCTGACCCTACTTTGGGGACTCCACACTTCGAGCTAAGAACAGCAATGCTCAGTGTAATACTATAATAGGAGGGAAATTACTGCAACAATAGCATGGTAGCAAAGTCTCTGGCTACAGCAAATGAGAACAAGCCCAAATGCAGTAATGAAGAAAAAGAACTGCTTACCTTTGGAGGGCCTCAGCTATGCACGGATCTCCAGAGAGATCCTCTCACCTCCACTGCCAACCCTTAAATGAGGGCTGGGAATGGGAGGATCCTGGCTTCACCCTTCATCACTCAGCAGCACTGCATGCACCTGAGCTCCTCTGGGCTGGCCCTGCCTTCCCACCAGGTGCTCCATCACTGCTTCAGGCTGTGACTTTGCATTGCCACTACACTCGGTGGAATCCCTTTCTCAGGCTCCAAACAGAGCACATGCTTTATAAGCAGAAAAGAAACAAAGACATCACAGCTCAGGGAAAACAAATAACAATGAGAGTTTCTTTGATTTAAATGGTCCAGGCTAAAAAGAGCAGTTCTGTGTGAGGGGGAAAGGTGCCCTTAGGTTGTGATCTAAGAAGAAACCAGTGAGGCCGCTCACAGCTTCCAAAAGCAGCACACGAAGCAGAAGCTGCAGCCATCTGAGAACACAGGAGCTGCCAAACCCCACGTCTGACTCTCTGCATCTGCAGCTCCCATCACAAAGGCTGCACCCCACGATGCCTTCCTGGGCACCGCCAGGACCCTGCACAGAGCAGTGCGGGCAAGAGACTCCACACCCAGAGCCAGAACCGAGCAACTCAGAAAAGCTCAATAAATACCTTTCTCCTCTTCCAAAGTGACTCTTGTAACCTTTTCCTACGAAAGTTATTTTCCCTCCATTGTAGCTTAACGCTTTGAAGAGAAGTCTCCAGATGCCTAGAAAGCACAGCTCACATTTAGCTCACTGAAGTCTTACTGCTCTCGTCCTATGCTTCCCTGCCAAGAAGTGACATCTGCGGACCGTTCCCAGAAATTTCCCCTGAATCATCCGTGATGCACGCAGAGCAGCGGCAGCGGGCAGTGCGTCGCTCAGGAGCGCGGCACTCGGCCCGGTAAGGCACGGGTTCCCAGTCGCGCTGCCGCCGGTTTCCCTCCGAGCCACGCCGCTCCCACGCGGCACTCAGAGCACCGCGGCACGGGCGGAACCCGAACCGCCCGGGCGCAATTCGCACCCCGGGGACCGGAGCGGTCTTTGCATCTCCGGTCTTTGAAACCACGTGTGAAAAACGAGTCCAACAGGCCGCCGAGCCGCCGCCGCGCCGGGCTCACGCGGAACAGAACGCGGCTCGAAGCGGGCGGCCGAACTTCGGGAAGGGAGAGCAGAGCAGACTGGGCGCCCGCTGGAGCGCAGCGGGGCCACGAGAGGCTTCCAGAGCAGCGCTGCGGGACCAGGCGGCTCCCGCACGGAGCGGCGCCGCTCCTCTCCCCGCTGACAGCCGGCGCCGAGCCGCTCCGCCGCTTCCCCTCGGTGCTCGAGCCCGGCCCCGCCGCGCCCCGTCGGCCCGCGGCCGCTAACGGACGGCGCCGTGCCGGGTCCCGAAGCACCGCTCCCGCCCCGCGCCCCGCAGCGGAGACCGAACCGCGACGCGCGAGGGAACCGCGAGCAGAGAGGCGCCCGGCGGGCACCGCGCACAGCACTCCAGCACTCACCGCGGGGTCCGCGCCCGCCGCCGCGCGCCGCGCTTCACGGCTCCCGGGGCGGGGCCTGCCCGCGCCTGCGCACTACTCGGCCCGGCCGGCGCGCGGCCCCGCGCGCACGCGCAGCAGTCGGGCGCCCCGCTCCGCTCCTCCGGGCCGCAGGGGGGCGCTGTCGGGACGGCGCGGCGCGTCGCGTCGCTCCGCCCGGCGCGGGGTGAGAGGTCGGGAAATGGCGGCGGCCTTGGGCGAAGAGGCGCCGGACAACGAGGACTACTACGCGCTGCTCAACGTGCGGCGAGAGGTGAGCGCGGCGGCCGGGCCGCGCGGCGTCGCGAAGGGGCCGGGACCCCCCGTGCCCGACCTCGCCTTTGGCGCGGGCCGCGGCGCGGCTGACAGCGACCCGGCGGGCGGCGGGGCCCGAGCGCCCGTGGCCGTGAGCGGCGCCGCGGGGCGGGCGGGCGGGGGGAGCGCGGCCTCGTGCGGGGCTCCGGGCGGCACCGCGGGCGGCCGGGCGCGACGGAGGGAGGGCGGCTCCAGCTGCTCTCATCGCGCCGTAGCGCCGGCACGGATCGGTACAAAATCGGCCTCGGAGCCGCGCGCTGTGGGCTGAGCGTGAGGCGGGACGGCGAGGCGACGGTGCGCTGAGAGCAGCGCGTTGGGACGGATGCGCCCCCGGGGTTCGTGACGGCCTGAGCCCGACCTGCCTCACTGCCCGTGTGCCCTCCGCCTTCCTGGTTCTTCGTGCCGGCTCGAGTCAGAGCTGCGTGAACCAGGTGTGCTCGGGTTAAACTGATAAAAGGCTGCTCTCCAGCTTCCTTTTCGAAGTGCGGCCCCGCGTCGGCTGGTGCGCGGCGCCGGCGGGAGCGGCAGGAGCTCAGAACGCTGCTGTGCTGCCGCTGGGCTCAGGGGCAGTGCGTGTGCACGGACCGCGCCGCTCAGACCTCAGTTAACAGGCGGAGGTGAGGAAAGCTTTTATCGAGCTACCGCTGCCTCGAACGGTAGGAGTTTGAGACAGAGAAGCGATTTCATCCCGTGGTTCTGAAAAAATTAGCTTGGGAATTGACGTCAGTGCTTCTGGCCCTGGGGTGGCCTTCTGTGTCTTGTTTATGGAAGCCGTTCGTGTTTCTGAAGGAAACAATCTGCCTGTAACACAGAGCTCTGCAGTACTGTGCAGAAGAGAAAAATGTTCTTTTTTGAAGAGTGCTGTGCAGCTCAAACACGAGCATGGTTAAGAGTCTGTGGGTCAGACTGTTACATCAGCCAGCAGACTTGTAAATCACTCTCCCAAATGCCATCAAGGTGCAGATGCAAAGGTTAAGAGAGTGAGGTAGGACGCGTGCAGGCGCTGCGACTGCCTGGGGGTGAACAGGGAAGGCTTAAAGGTTAACTTGGCCACGCTTTCAGCTCTGCAGCGGCTAACGAAAATTCAAGTTGAGTACAGCAGGGAACTGTAAGCCGAGTTAAAAGGATCTTTGTGAGAGTAATTCCAGATGAGGGTAGTTGCTTTGTTAATTATCTCCTTGCTAATTGAGTTCTGTAGTGCTATCCTGCATAGCAGTGGTGTGCAATGAGGCAACACTGCTGTATGCTGAGCCAGTTTTGTGTGGTGGGGCGGCTGGGCTCAGTATCATAGTTAATCACTGAGCTTTGCAGCCGTGGTAAGGAGAACAAACCTACTGAGCAGCACATCTCCAGTGTGTATGTATGCTTAATCTTCTATGGATTTCAATCCAGTACAAACGTGCCAAGTGTGAAACACTAAATTAAGGCATTTAAATCCAACAAGGAGGTGACACACCTCTTAATTTTGTCTAGAATTCTGGTGATAAAAATGTAACTTACATATGGTTATTACTGACTTATGTATCTCGTTGCAATTTGAAATGATGTCAGTATTTCTTTAGTGGTTCCTAAGAGGTTATCTCTCATGAAATATTGAACCAGTGACCCAATCTATTCAGAGATGATGAAAGGCCCAATCTAACCTTGTATTGAACGTGGCATTTACAAAAAATGAAATTGCTCATTTCTATTATGTAATCAATAGGACATTAAACCATTTATCATTAATTTGATTAAGGAATGTCATTTTAGAGCTCTGTCTTCTCAATCTAGTTTAAATTCAATGTCTGAGAAAGTACACGGTAGTAAAAAGAAGGCAGCTGCTCTATAGCTGCCTGACTGTCCTGGGGGTAGCAAATTCATCAGGTCCACTTCTGCTGTATCACTTCAGAAATGTAACATTAAGTAGTACAAGTGCAGAAAATCATCTACTCTAGACAGTTGTCAAGATGAAACAAACTTCTAGCTTTGAGATGCAAAAGAAACTGCACTTACTCCTCACCCTTTGAGGGATAAATAGTGCTGAAATACAAGGAATGAAGTGAGAGTGAGAAAGGGGAGGCTACCAAGTTTCCTCTGGTCTAAAAGTGATTCTGCTCTGAGATTGTCTCCTGGAAGTGATAAAGGAAGGTGTCTGCTTTATTATTCCATTGATTCTGAAAGAGCCATCCAAAATCTCCATCTATGTCTTTGGAATGAGGCCAGGTGCCACCTGAAATTCCTCTTGCTGAAGGACACATTTGTTTTGTTGATGCGTTTAGTGACTTACTGTTCTGCTCATCCATCTGTGGCAGCTGAGTGAATTTTTGAGGGGAGGTGAGGTGCCTTCTATTCTCACAGCACAATAGAGTATCCCTAGGAATGGAGTGTAGTGGTGAAGTGATTGCTTGTAATGCTGTCACTGAAATGCAAAGTCATGGCCTAAAGCAGTGATGGAGCACCTGGTGGGAAGGCAGGGCCAGGCCAGGGGAGCCCAGGTGTATGCAATGTACCTGAGCAACAGGAAGGGGTGGAGCCAGGGTCTTCTCCTTCCTAGTCCTCATTTAAGGGTTGGCTGTGGAGGTGAGAGCTTCTCTTGCTGGAGAACCCTTTGTTATTGAGGCCTTCCAAGAGTATGTAGCTCTTTTCCTTTGTTTTTGCATTTGGGTTTGTTCTTGTTTGCTGTAGTTAAAAACTTTGCCACCCCACTATTATCATGGTACTTTTCATCCCATTTTAGCATTACCCACCTTATAAATAACTGAAAATACAGATTGCATAACTGAATGCTTTGCTGACTTATATGAAAGCTGTGTCCTACTGTGAAGCTTAAGTCTATTCTTAAACTTATGTACGTAATGGGATGTAATAGCTGTTAGATTTCTCTTTCAAGGCTGATCTTGAAAATGGTCTTTTTTTTTTCATTATTCTTAGTTGTATTTTAATTTATTTTCATTGCTTTTTGTAGGCCTCTCAGGAAGAGTTAAAAGCTGCCTACCGCCGGCTGTGTATGCTGTACCATCCAGACAAGCACAGAGACCCAGAGCTGAAATTGCAGGCTGAGCGGCTGTTTAACCTGGTTCACCAAGCTTATGAAGGTCAGCAGAAGTCTATGAGTTTTCCAGAACTTTCTAGGGGTTTTCTAGGCAGGGTTTGTCTTTATGCTCTTTAAAATACAAATAAATATTGTCACACTATATTATATAATATTGCTGATAATTAATAGTGCTTTGTTTCATTTTTCTGTCCTGTAAATCAGAGGAGCAATGTATTGTAAGTTCTGCAATGAAGAAGTCCTGGTCTTATCATCTATGTATTATAAACAATCTTGTTGCTATCTCCCTCACTTCTCTGTAGAATGAGTTTCCAGAATCTGCCTGAATTCTAAATAACACTGTTTTGTCGGCCTATGATTTAAGAAGATCAAGTTCTCATTCTTTTTTTGATTTTAATTTGTAGTGCTTAGTGATCCACAGACCAGGGCCATCTATGACATATATGGGAGGAGAGGACTGGAGATGGAAGGATGGGAGGTGAGAGAAATTCCATACCTTATGGCTGGTGGGATTGGTTATATCCAAGTTTGTCTGAAATTCTTGCTGTATTGAGCTGCACTGACCCCTTGATAGTTTAAAAAAAAAAAAAACTCATCTGCTTGTAGCAGAAATACAAGTCACAGTCTGAAGCAGTGATTGAGCACCTGGTGGGAAGGCAGGGCCAATCCTATGGAGCTCAGGTACATGCAGTGCACCTGAGTGACCAGAAGGGATGGAGACAGGAGCCATTTAAGAGTTGGCTGTGGAGGTGAGCGGATCTCTTGCTGGAGATCTGTGTACCTGAGGCTTTCCAGAGGTAAGCAGCTCTTACCCTTCATTTCTGCATTTGTGGCTGCTGCATTTGGGCTTGTTCTCATTTGCTGTAGCCGGAGACTTTGCCATTCCACTATTGTTGCAGTACTCTCCATCCCATTATAACGTTATACTGCTAGAAAGCACTTTTGTTTTGTCTTTTTTGTTTTCTCTCCCTACCTCCACCCCTGGAGCAACACAGTGGTTTTTCAGAGTACTTGTTTTTTGGTCTCTGGTAAAAAACATCAACAACAAAAAGCATGTCATTCAGAGTTCCCTGCTAGGATATTGTCATAACAGGCAATATGTTTGGCTGGGACAAACACATCAATATCCCCACTTAATCTCATCTTTTTCATCTGAAGTCTGTGTGTGTTGGAGGAAGCATGGGGTGTAAGTTGCAGCTCTGAAGTGTTACAAAAATGAATCTGTCAATTCCTGGTCCTTCCAGTTATTTAAGTCCTCTTGCTAGCCTCTGCCAGCCTTAGTCAATTACATCATGCTGCTTGCTGTAAAATCATACTGTATTGGGCCAAGCCAGTACCGAGATCAAGTTTGGAGTTAGTTGCAAGAAATGTGGAACAGTAGGAGTACATAACAGATATTTCTGATCTGCTTATTGCAAACTCAAACATTTTTGAAAATTGAAATCCAGTAGTTCTTCTGTCCTTAATTAGAGCCATGCCTCTTTAAAACTCTAATTCCCTGAAACATGTAGGGTAAACAGAGCAGCAGGGACAGTGTATTAGTGTTAGAGTATCAGTGGACCTCAGTTCCATCAGCAGTGAAACACCTAGTATTTAAATTTCTTTTTGAACAGGTTGTGGAAAGGAAGAGAACTCCAGCAGAAATCAGAGAGGAATTTGAGCGTTTGCAGAGAGAGAGGGAAGAGAGAAGACTGCAGCAGAGAACTAATCCGAAGGTAAGTAAAGACTTCATGCCAGTCTCAACACTGAGTTCTTAAGGGTTTGGGAATGCAAGGGTGATGAGCCTCAATGAAGGGTTATAGTAAATAACCCCTTAGGTATTCACAGTTAATGAGCTACTCTTTGAATGTGCAGTTTATCTGGAAAATGTAGGGAAAACAACTAAATTTTTCAGCAATATTTTTTCCATTTTTTCTTTTCTGTTTAAACATTATAGAGCAAAAGTGTCTTTCAACATTTTTAGGAAAGCATTCCTAACACTGAAGTTGTTTTGAATTCTATCCAAATATTCCAAATAAAATGAAAATTCTTGCAGTTACCTGACAACTTTTCCCTTCAATATTGCTCTAGTGTCACAACAATGTGGAGAGAGATTCAGATGCGGCCTTGAAAAGAAAAAATCTGAGACAGTTACTAAACCAGCTGGATAGATAACTGTTCCTTCTCACTGTGGAATGCTTGCAGTGCAGTGAGCAAAATCAACATGAACAAGATTGGGGTCTTGCCTGCTTCACAGTTAGTTCCTGTTTAAAAAAAGCTAAATCACGTTCTTAAAATGAGAATCATTGAGCATTCCATCCTCATCTCTGTCTGCTTGAGCAGCAATAAATCGACCCTAAATGACCCACCTCACTGCTGAATCTTGGCTGTTTAGGAATGATCTGTGTTAAGGATGATGTTCTCATTGTAACATTGGAATGGCAGGGAGATGGGGAAATGATGATTGACATCTGTCACCTGCTGTGACTGGAATACTCCAGTAGGTTAGAATGCTAATGGCCTAGCAGGCTCTTGGTTGATAAATGTGCAGGCAGCCCAAGTCTTTGTCAGGATTACCCCGACTGAGGTTTTGAAGCTTGTTGAATCAAAAATCTTGATTCTCATGCAGTGAGCAATACTATCAAAGAATTGCTTTGGCACTCACCTAGTATACTTATACTTTAGTCTACCTCTTATCTGTATCTTTCTCCTTTTTTCTTGAACTGTCAGAAACCATTTTGTGCCTGTTTTTTGAAACCTCTGTTGGAAGCCTTTTCTTTCCATGCAGGGTAGGAATGGCCCATGGTGGGGGGCCTTAATCTTCCTCTCTCCACCCTGAGGTAGCTGTGCAGACATTTACATAGGTAAATAAACTTCCTCTGTCTTCAAACAAACAAAACTGTAGTGAGACATTGAATTCTGTTTTACTTGCAAATGCTTGGTGGAAGTACAGAGATTCTGCATCCTAAGCACAGGTGGTGGTACTGTTCTGATGTCCTTGAAAGAAGAGGTCCTCTGTCACCAATTTCATACATGGGCCTTTACATTGTTGCAGCATAGCTCGTGTAACCCAACAAAGATTAATTACTACTAGTGCTGGTTTGGAAGGTTGCTGTGGTCTTTGCAGTCAGTAGTTTATAGTCATTATAGTCACAGTGTTTTCTTAGGGGACAGAAGTGTGAGTTTAGGATTGAATCAGAAAAATATCTATCTGAGAAGACCTGTCATGTTTTGAGGTACTCCTTGGTGCAGACTTTGAATCTGTGCTGGTCTTAGCAAAGCAAATTGAGTAATGCAGATCACCAGGCTGTTGTGAGTCGTGTACAGATATTAGGAACTCATTTGTACTGAAAGGGTGGCTAAGCATAAGGTGATAAGTAAATATCTGTTGACATATTCTATCCAAGAAAGGATTTCTGGATGCCACAAAATAGGGCAAGTCCAAATATCTCTAATAGAGATGAGAGTGATTGTGGTCAGGAGGATACTGACACAGAGGGGCACGGTTATCTCTGTGTAGTGCTTCACTGTGACTTCAGGAGTTTAACATTTTTATCTGGGTATTTTACTGTGTCTGTGAGCAGTAAAAAAAAAAAAAAAAAAAAGTACATTGCAAGCCTTGGTCTCTGTGTCCTGTGATAAAATTAGCCATCTGGGTGTTTACAGCAACTGCTGATTGGCAGCCTATAGAAATGCCTCTCCAGGCAATGTTCCTGTGGAATTAGGTAGCACAGCTGTGATCACTTCATACATGAACACAAGTTATCTTAAAATTTCAAACATTTTGTCAGTTCTATAAAATGGTTTCAGCAAAGTAAAGCATTTTAACCAGAAATGTTGAGCAATAACCAGATGTAGGCAATTTGGCAGGTTTCAAATTGAGCCTATTATTTGCTTTTAGAGTTTTGTTTTTGTTTTCAAAGCTGTGCAGAAGGGTTGAAAAGTTCATTACTTGATTTGAGAACTGCTTCCTGTTTAGAGCAATAAATCCCATTATTTTCCTGCTGCAGAAGGTCGACATCTAAGAAATGTAGATTCCTCAGGGCCCAGCCAGGTTCTGTGTGTCACTTCCAGAAGGAAGATGATCATCTTCCAGGAAAAAAAGATGAGGAAGGATACATTCTTCTCTGGCACATCTATTAATTTCATCATTAACAACTGTTTCATGTTTACAGGGATGTTAAATGTAGGTAATTTCAAAAGGTGCTGCCAGATCACACTTCTGAGCAGAGCTTTGCAGCTTCTCCCTGCTGCTCTCACTTTGAGAAGGTTTTTCCTTTTATTTAATGGCCTGAGCAGGTGGCTGATGGGAAGCTGTGAGGAGCTGTGCTCCTCTCTATTATCCGGTGCCATAGGGGGTGCTATCGTTCTCTGGGAATATTTTTAACATTGCCATCTGCTGCTTTTCCTGTGCTTGTGCATGAGCCAATTTCCTTGCCAGGACCTATAGGTCTCTGAAGGTGACTTCACCTGTTTGGCAGGAGGGAAAATACCTTGTGGAGTCTGCTCCCTTCACCAAAAGGCAACTGAACAGAAATCCTGCTGCAGAGGGCAGGGTTGGGGCAGCTGAGGTGCTGCTTTCATCTGAATTGGTTTTGTAGATTTTCATGCATAGATTCAGGTGTTTTCCTTTTGACTTCTCTATTTTCACTGAGAGAAGTGTTTTGCAGTTCATAGTTGTGATAAAAGAAGTTGCAAGATTTCATTCAAGTTCAACATGGTTACTATTTAGTTTGAAAACCTTTGTTTAAATTACTCTGAATTTGTAATGCAGAGTTGCAGTCTGGCAGAGGTTCTATGCTGAATGCAGCACCAAGCAGAAAACCTTCTTGTGCAGCTGTTGTGAAAGATCTTGGGCTTCATATATTTCTGAAGTGAACAGCTCAAGAAAAAGAGGAGTAGTTCTGTTTTGTTAAGAGGTGCATTCACCTGTGTTTAAATGTTTGATCAGTCAGTCTGGAGTGCATTTATTGGAATCTCCTGGAGTCAAGCTGGCCCTTCTTGCTTGCTTTGGCTCTTCTCAGTGTGCTCTGTAAGCATCTGGAGCAGCAGTGCAGGGTTGTGCAGCTTCTGAGGCATTTGGCAGCCTTGCTTTGCTCCACTTTTACATTGGCCTTGTCAAGGAACTGCACAGCACAGGAGAGGCTGGAACTGAAGAAGTTGTAACATTTGGAGAGCAGATCCCTTGAAGGTGATGTTGGAAGTTGCTCCTGAAAAGTAATTTTCTGCATAAATTGTAGTAATTTGTCATTTGTTTCCTTAAACAGGAAATGAGTGTAATTGGAAAGTTGTTGAATTTTAAATCAAAAATAAATTCTAAAAGAAAAAATTAGGATTCAGCCCTTATTCCAGAGTTCTGGAAATAATCACACCTTTCTGTGTTTAAAATACTTTTTCTGCTATGCAAGCAATCACAAAATAAACAGCAGGAATTTTCACAGCAGATACATGGTTGGAAGTTTTGAATCCTATCAAACTCTGTAATCTAAGGTTCAGAATTCTATTAGGATGGAGTGAGCATGGAAAAACTCTTACTCAGATTGAAATAAGAATTTATTCCGTCCATATTCCGCTGTCAGGATGTTTTTACACCTACCCTGAGTTGTGTTTATTCAAACTGCTTGATGTTAATCCTGTGTGTGCACAGAGGTTTTGTTATTGAAAATGGTACATTTTCTCTGGGTGGTGGTGCTGTGAAATAGATCTTTGGGGAGTGTTATCAGAGCCCCTTGAAGATACGTGACCCAGACGAGAATCTAATCATGCTCTTTTCAAATAAACCCACTCCTACTAATGTTCCAAGTTGATTCCTCCTGGGGAAAAAATGTTTTAATGTTTGTGTTTAAAAAAAATGCTGTTTAGAATGGAGAATGTAATTGCAAAACAAGAAAATCCTGAAAAGCAGCCTTTAAACTAGCAATGTGTGAGGGTGCTTTAGCCATTTAGCCTGAGTAAGTTGGATGCTTGTTAATACTTTGTTTCCCTTTATCCTTAGGGAACGATTAGTGTTGGAATAGATGCTACTGACCTCTTTGATCGTTATGATGAAGAATATGAAGATGTGCAAGGGAGCAGCTTTCCCCAGATTGAAATAAATAAAATGCACATATCCCAGTCCATTGAGGTAAGGAGGGCAGGTGCTGTGGCTGACTTGGTCAGGGTCTGAGAACATGAGGCACTACAGTGCAAGCCAGCAGAATGTGGAACGCTGCTCAGGTCTCATCTTTCTTTACAGGAAGGTCCATTAACCAGTGTGAGTGGGAGGAGACTCAGTTCCAGCAGGACTGTGTGTTGAATGTGTGGCATGCATTTGTGTGAGCACAGGCGCAGAATTTGATGGCTTGTGTGTATGCTGCTATGCTCCCTGCTAGTAGGGAGGCTGAATTGTGATTGAAAGTGGGTATCTAGCTCTCTGTGAATGCAGGACACTTTGTATGTGAAAACATATCATCCAATTTTGAGGACGTAGGCAAGGAAACAAAGGGCAAATGTTTCCTTTGTTCCAAACAGTTGGAGAAATTGAGTCTGCTCTTGAGATTAGAAGGAACTACAGCTCAAGATCAGGACTTAGGGGCTCATTAAAGCTGTCACAAGCAGCTGCTGCTATAAAATTTATTTCACATTTTGCCGTATTCTCACTGCAGAATTTGGAATGGGCATGTCTAGTTGAAACAGCTGGGTTAAGTGGATGACAAGAATGCAACTGTACTGATACTTGTCTCGCTGTGCTTACACTCTCTGCAGTCATCTACAGTTTTGGCTGTGTCCTTGTAGAGCAGACATTATGTATGTGAATCAGGATTGTATTGGTAACAGTATATTCTTTTTGTCAGGCACCACTGACTTCCACAGACACAGCAATACTGTCTGGTAACCTTTCTACCCAGAATGGGAATGGAGGTGGATCAATTAATCTTGCTTTCAGACGAGTGACGTCTGCCAAGGGATGGGGAGAGGTAAGAATGCTGGATGTTATATACTATACCCAATTTGTTTCAGGCTGCTTGGATTAGCTATCTAGACTACTTTCTCTTGGGAACTTCAGCTTTTTTCCACCTCTGTGTGCTTCCATTTCAGAAGATAGGGATAGCAGTGCTGACAAACTTTCTTGACTGCCCTATGAAGAGAGCTCCTGGAGACTTAGGTGGTAGCAGTATTTGTAGAATGATACTAAAACACATTGTGTTGGATAGTAGAACAATACTTCGTACATCCTGTTCCCCAAGTCAAAAGTTTTTCTTCATTTCTTCCCATTTTTTGGCCATGTGTGGTGTGCTTGGCTTGTGCTGATAGAATGTTACCTGTTGTTTCTTGGGCCCTTCCAAGGGCTGTGTTTTCCAAGTATGTGCTGTTGCCTCTAGGGCTACAAAAATGGCTTTCCTCATGACAATCTTGCTAAGAGAAACTTGTTATTCTGAGTGTGAAATTAGCAGAAAGGAGAGGATATTAAAAAAAGTGAACTTAATTCAGATGTTTTAAACGCTTCTGAATTAAAATAATGCTTATGAAGTACTCTATCTCTTGACAAAGCCTATATTCTAACTGCTTATCAATGTGCGTTTTAACAGTTGGAGTTTGGAGCAGGAGACCTTCAGGGACCTCTCTTTGGTCTGAAGATATTCCGTAATCTTACACCAAGATGGTAAATAGTCAAAGTTTAATGTTTGGTTCCTCAGTGTGGAATATTAACCATCTCAAACTCATTTTCATGTTAATTCTAGATTTGTTTTCTGTTCTGTAAAAGGTATCTCTTATTTAGACTTTGCATAATGCTTTAGTGCTACTCAAAATGCATCCATTCTGTTGGTTAGTGTCTTCTATCTTAATACCACTAGGTTAAGGAGAGTCTGGTCTACATCCTCATGACACTTTGCTTATTTCTTCTAGCTTCATCACTACAAACTGTGCTCTGCAGTTTTCATCCCGTGGGATCCGCCCAGGTCTCACCACAGTTCTGGCCCGCAACCTGGACAAGAACACCATGGGGTACTTGCAGTGGCGGTGGGGCATCCAGTCAGCCATGAACACCAGCGTTGTCCGGGACACAAAAACCAGCCATTTCACTGTGGCATTGCAGGTGAGAACCCTGTTGCTGTATGCAGGGGATGTTGATGCCATTTTAGGTGGGAGAAGGCTCAGCTTTTACTCTTGTATTTCAGCTGGGAATCCCCCATTCTTTCATGATGGTCAGTTACCAGCATAAGTTTCAGGATGAGGATCAGACGCGGATAAAAGGTTCTCTAAAGTAAGTGCACAAGTGGAAATTCGTATTGCTCAGAATCTGTTATCTCCTGCTGTTGTAGGTCTCTGGGTTCCACACAAATTGTGCACATCTATACTCTTTAGGAATCTGCTTTTCTTTAATTATATCTCTTACTGACTGAAATGAGTGTCTTGGAGGCTTAGTTTTGTGTCTCTAAGTGGAATGTAAAATACATGCTTGTTGCCTCTGTAATCTGTTAACTAGTTTACTAACTAAAAGGGCTAATCTCATCTTGGAGATGCACCATGAATCTTCTGACAGCCAGCATGTGCCCCACACAAATGTATTTGTATGTTTTACTTGTTGGAGAATTACACTAAAGAGAACTCTGTGATGAAAAACTTTAAGTCTTCTGAGTCTTAGCAGTATTTGTTCTCTCATTCTAGGGCAGGGTTCTTTGGGACCATTGTGGAGTATGGAGCGGAGAGGAAGATTTCCAGACACAGTATTTTAGGAGCCACTGTCAGTGTTGGTGTTCCCCAAGGAGTGTCTTTGAAAATCAAGTCAGTTAAAGATTATAACTGTAGAGTATAGAGGCCAATCATAACTTATGTTATTGTATTTCAAAAATTCAGGTGAGGGGGGTTCTTACTTAGAGCTATGTTGATATTTCAGTGTAAGGGTTTGCAGCTGCCTTCATCTGTAATGTAAGTTTTGCCTACCTGAAGCAAAATGTGCCTTCTGCTCATGTTGTTCTGAGCCTGAACCACTTCTTACAGGTCTATCGTGTGATGCATCAAAATATTCTGAAAGTTCAATTTTAAGTTTGGGGTATTACTAGTAAGTGGATGGAAGAATTAAAAAAATATTAGAAATGTATTTAATTGCATTCCATTTGTGCAACACTGTGCATACTTGTGTGCTTCAGTTAGTGAATTGCCATTATTGAGTATCATTGAGGATACTTTGTTAATATGGCAGTTCACAAAGAGATGCCTAACTTCTAAGGCTTCGTGCACTGCAGTGCAATTCTGAGTTGTTGCCAGCAGAGGGCATGCTAGGATGCAGAAACGTAAAGACATGAAGATGCTACTATCAAGAAGACTTTTCAAAAATTAATATTCTTCCAAAGTTTATAGTTTCGCTTATGTTTTTGAGATGACTTAATCATCTCTACCTTGCTTGTGTATTTAATCAAGAACACTTTACTCTGCATTTCTTCTGACCTGTCATTATGTTCTTACTCATTCCAGGTTGAACAGGGCTAGTCAGACCTACTTCTTCCCTGTCCACCTAACAGATCAGCTGCTTCCCAGTGCTGTATTCTATGCCACTGTGGGACCCCTAGTTATCTACTTTGCCATGCACAGGCTAATCATCAAACCCTACCTCAGGGCGCAGAAGGAGAGGTGAGCTGGCAAGGCTGTTTGTAATACAGAGCTGGGAAGTCCTGATCAAGTGCTTCTGGGAGGCTGGTTCAAAGGCTGGGATATCCAGCTGAGGCATAGTGTCAGTGATGCTAGAAAGCTACAAAAATCCCCTGGAGGGTGGGGAAGAACCTTGAAGCCCAGCTCATTAGAGTGATATTGTGGGCCACTATAATTGGGGTGAATTAGTAAACATTTGCCACTTTGTGGCTGAATCCCATTCATTGTGTAGACCTGATGTGATTTTGATGTCTTTATGCCAGAGAGCTGGAGAAGCAAAGGGAGAGTACTGCCAGTGACATCCTTCAGAAAAAGCAAGAGGCAGAAGCTGCAGTAAGTCTTTCTCATAACTAATCCCTCTTGAAGCTGGTTTTACTCGGCTTATCTCTTTTGGACTCAGTGTCTGACAGTGCTTAATTTTTACTTTATCCCTTGTGTTATGACAGGTTAGGTTGATGCAAGAGTCTGTCCGGAGGATAATTGAAGCAGAGGAAGCCAGAATGGGTAAAGATTATAACACCATTTATTCCATAAATGTGGATAGAGGAAGGAGCAATAAAAAGGCTGGGTAGCTGAGGGGGAGAAATGTGAAATGCAGTTCCTTCATTTCTACTCTTAATGAAGCATGGCATAATTGCTGTTTGTGCATATATTGGGAAAATTCCATTGTGATTCATCTGGTGTCTACACTTAGGGACACCAGATATTGTCTCAGGAAAGGCTACAAGATGATGAGCAGGATGTAGGCAAGTCTGGCTGCTTGTCTCTTCAAAAGAGAAGTGTGCTATAGGCATGTGGAGAAATTTGAAGTATGTCTTCTGCTGATCTGATCTACACAGTTTGCTCTTAGATTATAATGGAAATCTGAGTGTTAATGTTTGTGAGCAACTACCATGAGAATCTTCCAAAATGGCTTGTGACATTCACTTGGTTTGTCACATCAGCGTGATGTTGAAGGCAAGTCATTCTGTCCTAGTGCTGGAATACTGCTAGCAAACACCCAGGTATAAATGTTCCTCTGTCTTGAAAAGTCTGGGTTGAGTCAAGGTGGAATCAAGTATCACTGAAAGCAAAAGATGATGCTGGGATGGTCTTTTCATCCATGTCTGCCCAACAGTCAGTGGGAAACAGCTCATTGCATTTGTGATTTCTTGTGAAATGCAGGTCTGATTGTAGTGAATGCCTGGTATGGGAAGTTTGTTAATGACAACAGCAGGAAGAATGAGAAGGTGAAAGTAATAGATGTGACTGTGCCTTTGCAGTGCTTAGTGAAGGACTCTAAGCTCATCCTTACAGAGGCATCCAAGGTATGTAGCTTATGTCAAAGCACATACTGAGATACTCAAGTGTGTGACTCAGTTCTGAATGACCTGTATGCTCTCCTCACAGGGTATTTCTGCAGTGTGCAAGGTTAATTTACAGAAGCCACTTCCTACACAAGCATCACAAACTGCTAGGAACTTCTGTTTCTCTGGGCATTTCCAGTGTCAAACTGTACCTCAGTGTTTATGGCATAGGACAGTGTTACAGATTTCGGGGCTGTACACCAGAAACTTCCTGGGTTCAGTGTTGTCAGCATTCTTGACACTGGGGAGATAATTTCTTAGCTTTTCATTTCATTGGCAACAAAATTTCTTGATTTTTTTTTTTTTCTGACACCTTATTCTGGTACTAATGATATTTTAAGAGTCATTGAAGAGTGAAAGCCTGTGCACTGTTTCCCAGTCTATCTTTCTCTGCTTAAAGGCTGGGTTGCCGGGTTTCTACGACCCCTGTGTGGGTGAGGAGAAGAGTTTGAAAGTGCTTTATCAGTTCCGAGGAGTTCTGCACCAAGTGATGTCAGCTGACAATGAGGCCCTTAGGATACCAAAGCAATGTAAGTAACAAGGACTACCATGCTTCCTCCTTCAGGAAGAGCTGGGGTTACTGAGATGGACTGGGGTGGCTATGGTATGTCTCCAATCATTAAGGAGCTCAGCTGCAGCATTGCAGCTATTAATGCCACCTGACCTTAAATATCCAACCTGAAGTTTAAAAGAAAGCAGCTTCCAGCAGCTGCTGTTATCCCTACTGGGCAATTCACAGCCCTAGGTAGCCCACTGGGGACTGATCTGAAGGCAGGCTAGAGGCCTGTACCAGATTTTTCCCATCTGCATTTTGTCTATATGTCAAGATGTTCACCCTGTCAAGATGATTTTGTGAATTGTCTACTGACATGTTTTACTGGTACCATGTAGCCCCGGGCAGTTGGCTAAGGGGCACAGTACTGTTAACTCCAGATCATTTCCACAGCCCTACTTGAAGAGCCTATCCAGTTTACAAATCTGTCATAAGTACAGTGGAGTTGTAAATGAATTGTTTAATTAGTGGCCAGAATTGTTTCTGTCTGTTCCTGGTACAGTGGTGAAGTTCAAGTAAGGATGATGAAAGTGGTGTGTACCCATTTACTCTTCTCATTCAACAGCTCACAGAATTGATGCAGATGGCTAATCTGATGAGAGTGTGCACGTCTGTTACAGTACCTGGGTCAGTGGAGAGAGCAGAACCTTCCCCCAGATTCTACAAGCTTGAACAGAGACATTTTTATCTATATAGCAGGTGGTGGCCTACCAGTCGTGTTAGGATCAAAAATAAGAGAACCTGCTTCCTGAGGTGGCTTCAAAGCAATACTTCTCAATTGTGGCTCAGTAATCAATAAAACAATGTGACTCTGAACGTGCAGTTCTTTTGGCCGAGGTTGTGTGAGCAGGCTCTGAGCACCACCCATCATGCAGCCGAATTTTTCCTGCAGCAATTTGGCCCAGTCCATTTGTGCAGTCTCACATAGCCTTCTGTACTCGGCAAGAAAGGAGACTTGTTCTTACTACTTTGTGTACTGAGGTAGGTAACATGCCCTTTTTCCATGCCTGAGTGAAAATTCTTTATGTTAAGGCCACCTCCTGGGAGTTTTCTGTGTAAATCCTTTTGTTGGAAAGAGGGCAGAGATTGTTTTCCACCCTAATTCTGTATTTGAAATGCACTTGTTAAGAACAAGTATGTTTGGAACAGAGTTCTTTGCTTCTTGTAATGACACAGATCTCTTCCATGTGAATCCATTCAGCTGCTCATTTCAAACACTGCTCTACCAGAGAAGGACACTGGGAATAATTGTCTTATTAATTCATTTTCCTGTCAAGGTGTTCAGGAAACCAGGAAAGCTAAGTGGAGAGAAGGACAGCAATTTATCTTATTTCTAGGGAAAAGAGGAGCATAGTTCATATGAATAAACCAGACCAAAGTGAGGAGAGGTGCAAAATGGGGTAAAGAGCTGAAAACATTGAATTCAGCTGCCACTTCTGATGCAGCTTAGTTGTAACATAAATTTCTTGGATTTGTCCTGCATGGAAGCCATGCTGGTAATTTACCAGCAGAAAGGGCAGTTCTAGTCCTGTTCCAGTGACACAGCAGATGGAAGCAGCAGCCATGTGGTATTGCTGTGTGTGTCAGCACTGCCAAAGTTTTGGTGGGAGTTTTGTGTTGTTTTTATTACAGAGAAAAGGAATAATCAAGGCTGTTTCTGAGTCACAGCTCTGCTCTCAGTGAATCCTAGAGCAGCCTCCATTGCTTACATGGGAGGGACAGGAAACAAAGGATCTTGGCTGTGCGTTGCTGCTATTACCATAAATCACTCCCTGACATGTACCTGACCCCTTTTTCTTCTTGACCGCCATTCTCTCTGCTCAAGTCATGGTCTTAAATGCTCTACTGCAAGTAATTTTAACAGGACAATTAAGTTTCTAAAACCAGACTCAATTGAGCTAGGCTGCAAGGAACTTCTCCCTCCAAAACAAGTTCATACAACTAAGTGTTCACTTTTAAAAGTAAAACAAGGCTTTTCAGTTGCGACCGGTTCCTGGTGTAGGACTTGATTTCACATATGACCAATGTTCTGTTTTTTTTCTGATACTAAATGTAAAATGTGCAATAAATTATATTCAGCTGAGAACTAGCCCATGTCCCATTTTCATCTTCTGGGCAGCATTGAAAACAAACTCTTTCCATAAAGTAAGGGTTGCAAGTTTTATAAATTTAACTGCATCCTTTGTTACATTCTGCTTCCTGCTCTCTTGTGGTCACTTATATGTACTGCTAGTTGAAAGGGACAAGAAATGCCACCAGAATTCCCTTTTCCATGTCTTGTGTCTGCCTGAAGTAAGTGGTCAGCAGTGAGAGTTATTCTGTGTTGACTGGGATGTAACAAAATGCTCCATGTGGGAGTGCTGGGAAGTAGGAGTTCTGCATTAGCAAGTGCAACCTAGTGACAATACACTGCTAATTAAAAAGAAAAAGCATGCTCCTGTAACTAGCAGGGCAAATACACCAAGAAGTTTGCACAATAAAACAATGCTGCTTTCTGACAAGTTCCTGAGATCCGGTTTCTGTTGTCATTAAAGTGGCATGTTGTCTATGTTAAAAATGTAGAGAAATAGCAGTGTGAATGTAAAACCTCTTCAGTCTGTGAAGATGAGCTGTGGAATTACAGCATCTGAAAAAAGACCATTTCTGAGATGTAAGGTACACCCTTACTGCCCCTGCAGTGCAAACAAGTAACAGGGTAGTGAGCATCTCTGGATGCAAACTTTGGAATGCCACAGATACCTGAGGTGAATGCATCCTTTTCTAACTGAGCTAGCTCATGTTTAAAATACCTTAATGAGGGCTGGCCTTCTCATCTTGAGCCTTTAAACTGGGAATTCCTGTGGTGGAGATGCAGGTCAAGGTTTTACTTTTTGTACTCTTCCTTTACATGCTCACCTCTGTGCCAGCCCTCCACTCCTGCTGTCACAGCATGATTCAGCCAGTGATAGGCTACAAGGATCACAGCTCTGGGTACCACTTGTGCTGTAAAAACCTTATCAGCCTCCCCTGATGCGAGTCAGCCCATGCATTCATACCCAAGGACAGCTCAGCCACCCTGGCAGAGCTTAGATTCAAGCAGATGCTTTGTTTTTCATTACAGCTTAGCAAAGAAAACTCAGTTCCTCTGCCTTCCCACTCTATTCTTTCTTCCCCCACTGTATCAGAACCATCATTGTCTAGTTGTAAAGCGGTTCATGCAAAGGACAGGTGAATCTTAATTTTAGTCTCTTGAATTCATAATTCTTCTTGAAGTAAAATTACTGACACAGATCTTGCCCCATTCATTTACTAAATGTTACATAGAAAAGTTTCTTAAAGCGTGGTTTGTTTTCCCTGCTGTATCAGCCCACTAAAGAGTCAGACTTCTGTTTTTCCCTTCTGTGTAAGTACTACCAGTGGCCTTTCCCATCCGTGAGGCACAATGCTCCTGCAGCAGGTTCTTCTACGCAGTAGTCAACGTGAAAACTCCATTTTTGCTTCCCTGCAGTTTGCAATAGTCAGGCACTGCTGAATTGCATCCACACGGTGGAGCCCCTTGCCTATCTATCTCCCTTATACCCAAGTTTCAGGCTGCTCTTTCCTGCTGAATACCAAACTCCAGCCTTCCTCTCCTCTTCATTTTCTGCCAGTCAATCAGTACAAAGCCTTAAAAACACTGTCAGCATAGCCCTACTTGAGAAACTGCTCCTTTTAACAACTTTGTTCTATGAGAAACTGCCATTTTACAGCCGCAGCCTCCTCTGGGACTTCTGTTTGTTGCTCCATACATCGCCAACAATTAAAACAGAAGCTGTAAGCAACACAGACTCAGTTTTTAAGGCGATCCAGTGCCATTTCCAAATTGCTGAGCAGTCTTCCAAGTTCACCAAGCTGCTAAGGGAGGCTACTGCTTTGAGCAGCGCTCTGGGGGTGAGGCAGGTTCAGGAGTTAAGGAGCGGCAGAGAGGCACAATGTGGTGGTTTGGCATGCAGCTGCTCTGCAGGCAGGGAAGGAGAGGGGTTCTCAGAGGGCATAATGGGGTTTTGGGTTGGCTGGGCAGGTGAGCCTTTGTGAGGCAAATGCAGCACAGCCCAAGGGCGAAAGCTGACACCGCAGTGCCCTGTCCTACCAGTCTGGCCCTGGCTCTCAGGTCACCTCAGCCAGCAGTGCTGTCACCTGAGCAGAGATCTGTCCCAGCCCATGCCCAACTGCTGCACACCAAGCCTGCCTTCAGGCTGGCTGCAAACAGCCCCTGGCAGGGCTGCGTGCTGCTGAAGGCACAGCCGTTCTCCCCAGAGCTCTCTTCCTCGCTGCCTTTTGGCAGGTCACTCCTCCACACTCACCTTGCTTGCAGCAGGAGCTGGACAAGAGAGATAGGAACAGCAGTCCCCTGGCAGAGCATGAAGGGGAGATCTGCTCGTGGTGTTCCTCCTGTCCTTCCCTCACCTTGCATATCACTTAGGGAAGAGCACTTCTGGTCACGTCTTGCTGCCACCCAGCACAACAGTTTTGCACACCAGTAAATCATGCTAGCAGACTCTTGAATCCAGAATAAAGCAAAGTCATTATTCATTTGTTTCACTTAAAAAAAAAACATGGTTCATTAAAACAGTTTTAATGAAAAAATAAAGTTCTGAATTAAACTATAATTATATATGGCTGAAAGTGATGAACTAAAACAATGGAGATGTTACTTTTTTTCTCTCTGCTGATACTGTAATGTGCTGGACTTGTCAGACACCATCTATTGGGATAAATCTGAAAAGGTAACAGAACAAGAGTCAGTCACATTGATTAGTATTTAACCTCTGGGAAAAAGAGGCAGTTCGCTTGGCCATTTAACACTTAAAAACTTCAGAACACATTCCAGGAGGTCCAGTTGAATTGCAGACACGCTGTAAACACAAAGATGCCAGTGCTCAGAGCAGGTCCAGCCCTCACAGCTTGCAACCAGGATCTTCCAAAGCCTTTCTGTTTGCAGAGTGAAATGGCAGCATTAGAGAACTTTGGTTGTATTTCTGGCTGCAAACAGCAGTTAGGCAGCCATAAGGGGCAAGTCTTTGGCAAACTCCTCGGTGGTTGCACTTAGCTTCTGGAAGGCAGCATACCACAGTCATGGTCTAAGTTTTAACAGAAGCTGGAGCTGGTTTTCAGAACCTAGAGTCAGTTGTTACAGTGTGGTGGGATGGGAGTTTTATGAAGAACCAAGGCTGAAGAACAGTTGCACAGCGTGCAGCTCCATCATCCTGAGCCGGCCGTGCCCACGTCCCACACGGGAGCCCCGGGGCTCTGCTGTGCTGAGCAGCCTGCACGAAGCTTTGGCAGCCTGGCGTGAGACGTCAGGGAGGGTACCTGACTGTACACTGGGGAGACCCTGCTCCTCACCAGCTGCATCTCCCCCTGGCACCGCACTCAGGTAAGGCAGGGATCTGACCGGGCCCGTCTGCAGACCGACGTGACGCGTTCCTACCAGCACAGCTGGTCTCACCTAAGCTCCAGTGCCAGCCAATGACTCTCCTCATCTCACAGGACACAGAACACATCCATCAGGTGTAACTTAGAAGAAATGTCTCAAAATCATAAACCTAAGTTGTACGGTGCATACAGCTTGCTCTGTTTGGTCACTGAGGGACAGCGCCTCCATCTTGGTGGCCTCACAAACAAGCCTGGACTCCCTCACTCTCTTTTCCTTCCCAGCACCAGATGAATCTTCATTTCGCTTCACCTTGCTAGCTGCATAGCCTGCATTTGTGGGGTTTTTTTGTATGTAATTTGCAGCCAACAGGTTAAAGAATTTGGTTTTCTGATTGGAAATCCAGTCTCAAAATATAAACAGCAGAAACAAAGTCAACTCAGCTGTAGTACTGATGGAAATGATCAAATCTCGAACCAGACTGGCCAGGTTCTACATTTACTACAGCCTCTTTTACAGTCCACGCTTGAACTCTGGGCTGAGAAAAGGGAGAATCGTCATCTTAAAACAGCACCTTGGAGTTTAACAAAGGGCCAGGACACAGAGCGAATGGTATTCCCCCCAAACACATTTGAGCCAATCATGCAAAACAAAGTCACAAAAAATCACCATTAAGAGACTTCTAAGAAATCTGATGTCAACTAATTGCCAGCGCTGCCTGTCCAGAGAAAGGAGTGTTCTCTTTCTCTAAATGCACCAGTCAGTCCCCCAGAGCAGGGTGAAGTCCTGTCATTACACAATGCCAAATCACAGCACTCACCTCCTGCCCGGGCCCGTGGAAGAGGAGGCAGATCACACAGAGGTTGGTATGCGTTCACACTCACTCCTACAGAGCCTTAGAATATCTAAGATTGATATATACGGACAAATGGGCAGGTATAATAATACATTAAAACACGTGGCCATTTACTTTTCGGACTCTTCACACAGATTCCCTCCTCCTCCTCCCTCCTCAGAGGATGAGTTTCCTAGCACAGAGAAGGTTTGCAGTTTCCCAGCGGGATGAGAAAAAACACGTGGCAAAGATATTATACATTCCCAAAACATCGTCCAACTCATAGCCGTAACCGGACAAAACCCCACTGAACCCAGAGAGCTTAATTTGTCTCTTGAGCTAATTGGTATCTAGCAGCAGTTCTGACCAGTCTGCTTCTTCCACCCCGGCCATCCAGACTTGGCGATACTTCATCCCCGTACCGCAGGCAGGCTGGGCAGCCCTTGGCCTGAGCAGCAGCAGTTCGGGGGAGCTGTGCCCGGCCCCCAGCCGGTGTCTGTGCTTTGCACGGCTCACCTGCCGCCCGAGCAGCGCAGCAGCACGCGCCTCCTCGCTTAGTCCAGAAAGCGCCTGCGCGAGCCCGTCCGGGAGCGGTTCGAACGGCGAATGTCAAACTTGGAGTCCCGGCACTTCTGGCAAATGTAGACCTCTGGGACGTTGGACTTGCGGATCTTGGCACAGGAGAGGTGGATCCAGGTGTGGCACTCGTTGCACTCGATCATCGGCCGCCCGGCAAAAGGCTTCATGCAGAAGCAAGTGACCAGGTCCCAGGAATCGTCATCTGGAAGGAAAAGCAGCAGGTTACGCTTTTATCTCCTGATGGCTCCCATGTCTTTCAGCTGCACTGGGAGCTCTTCTCCTTCTGATCTAAATTAACGCCCTGGCTCCCAAAGACAGGTGCTTCGCTGATTTTTCCAGGTCCTACAAGGAACCAGTATGCAAACTCTTGTCAGGAAAATACTCTCAACGGCACAAAAGAGGCTGTGTTCCAGGAGAGAACACCTAGCTGCCTCTGCAAGGTCCCAGTAGTTCACAACCTCGCCCCTCCCCCAAAAACACCTACTAATTGATTCTGCATTCTCCTCACACTACGAGTACTAGAAATCAGTGGCAGCACCATTGCTTTCACACGGCTTGGCATCTCTCAAGCCACCCCGGCAGCCGGGCCACCTACCCGAATCCACCATGATGTCCTCATCATCGCCGGTGCCGTCCTCGTCCCGGAAGACGACCTGCTTGCCCTGCCGAATGACCGTTCGTTTGCCCACGCTCTGGATCTCCACCGCCTGCTCGCCCGTCCCCGTGGGGTAGGTGACGCTGGAGGCCGTGTCAGAGTCCCAGACCGAGCAGTGCTCAGCCACAGACTGAGGGTCACCCTCAGACGAGGGGCTCATCGGTGTCTCTGTGTAAGAGTCCTCCGCCTCCAGCTCCAGCAGCTTCTCCTCGTAATCTTCCTCTGCAGACACCTCCGTTTCCCTTCTCTTCAGTTTTTTCTTCTTTCTGATCTTATCGATCTGCTTTCGCTCTGGCAGGAAGTTGCCGGGCTTTGCCCGCTGGAACAGGGAACTGTAGGGCTTTGCTCGCTTCAGCTGGCTGAAGTTCTTTCTATTCTTGGCAGGAAGGGAAACCGAGGAGGGGATGTCATTGAAGCGGGGGTCCCAGCTATCGCTGTCAATGGTGCCGCCGGTGCTGTTGGGAGGGCTGGGGCTGTTCCTCAGCGGCGTTTCCTAGAGAAACACACAGCAATCAGACAGCGGCGTTATTTCCAAGCTGCCTTACACGAGGTGCTGCAGTGCGTGGCATCGCACCCCTCCCCCTCCGGCGTTGTGCTTCTCGCCCGGCTCAGCCCCGATCCCTTCCCGCATCCCGAGCCGCAGCTCCAGCCCAGCACAGCCCGGGGAGCGGCCGGGACCGGGCCCAGAGGAGGGCGCGGGGCGATGCTGGGAGCACAGGGACCGGGGCGCCCACCCGCTGCCGCCCTCACCTCCTGCGGGTACGGGATGTATCCGGCGTAGGCCAGGACAAAGGTACAGAACTTGTTGAAGTCTTCCACGGTGCGGTGCCTCCGGGAGGTGGGGGAGAAGTCCTGCGGGGGAGGGAGGGAGGGATGAAGCGGGAGGGAGGGGTCAGCGCGGCCGCCTCCGCCGCGGGGCCGGGCCGGGCGCACAGCCGGGAGGCCCCGCTCCCCGCTGCCGGGAGCCGCCCCGCCCCCCCCCTCCCCGGTACCGCTCCCCGTGCCCGCCGCCCCCCCCTCACAACCGCTTCTCCCCGGCGCCGCTCCCCGGAACCCGCCGACCTCGCGCTGCTGGGAGCCGCCCCCCCCCCTCCGCGCCCCTTTTCCTCATCGCCCCCCGCCTCCCCCCCCATCTCCCCGGCGCGGTTGCCGGAGCCGCTCCCGCCCGGAGCCCCGCCCGCCGCCGCCGCTCCCCGCGCGAAGCCCCACCCCCACCGCCCGCGGCGGCACCGGGCACCGCCGCGCCGCCCCCCCGCGACCCCCGGCCCCGGCCCCGCATCCCGACCGCTGCTCCCAGCCCCACGGCCGCCCTCGCGGCGGGAGGCGGAGGAAAAGGGGGTGGGGGGGGGAAAGCACCGCCGGCCGCCGCCGCCGCCGCCATTCCCGTCCCCCTGCCCCCCCCACTCCGGCTCCCGGTCCGGGGACGCTCCGCGCTCGAGCGGCGCAAGATGGCCCCAGCCCGGCAGCGGGAAGCGGGCAGCGGCGGGCACCGGCGGCGGGAGACGCCCCCGGGAACGCGGCTCACCTCCGGGGCGAACGGGGAGGCGCAGGAGTCGGAGTCCATAGCCCGGCGCGGCGGGAGGTTGGGCGGGCGGCGGGCGCGGGCGCGGAGCGGCGGGGGCGGCCGGGCGGCACCGACACCCGCGAACCGCTCGGTACCGGCGGGAGGCGGCGAAGGGGCGGGCGCTGCCGCGAGGGCCGCCGGGAACGGTAGTCCGACCGCGCGGGGAGCGCCGGGAGGCGCGGGGAGAGCGTGCGCAGTGCGGGCCGCGAGGAGCGCCGGGAGCGGAGCTGCGGGGACGCGCGGTGCGGGGCGGCGCCGCTGAGGGCGGGGCGGCGCGGGGCGGAGCGGCGCGGAGAAGCGCGGGGGGCGCGAGGTGAGCGAGGTGAGCGCGGGCGCCGCGGGGCTCCGGGAGGCGCGGGGGGTTTCGGTGGCGCTGGGGCGGCGCTGCCGGCGCTCGGAACGGAACGGGCCGCCCGCGCCCCTCGGTTCTCCGCGCCGCTTTCGGGCCGGGGCCGCGCGGTTCGGGATCCGCCTCTCGGCTCGGCGCCGCGGGCGGCTCCCGGGCCGGGCTCAGCGGGCGGCTTTCCGAGCCCCGGGAGGCGCCGTGCGGAGCTCGGGCCGGCCGCTCCTCCCGCGCGGTGCCGTTACGCGGCTGCGGGGCGGTTCGGGGCCGCGCAGCTCCCGTTGCGGTCAGGCCGTCCCGGCGGCTCGGAGCTCCGCCGCCCCGCATCGCTCCGGGCGCCGTCGCCGTGCCCCGGCCGTGCTTTCGTTCTGCGTAGCGCTGTTCTGTACGGCGGCCGGCAGCGCTTTGCTGAGCGCCGTGCGGGTCGGGGCCGCGGGTCTGCGACGGCGGCCGGCGGCAGGAGCTTTGCGGGACCTTGCTGCGCCCGCAGCCCGCGTGCGGCGGCAGGCCGTTATCTGAGGGACCGCAGCGCGTGCCCGGTGCTCCGGCGGTCCCCGCGCTGCCCGGTTGTTGTGTCAGCGCCCGGCGCTGCCGGCGGGGCCCCGGAGCGCCCACGTGGGCGATTTGCTGCTGGGGACCCGGCAGCCCCGAGCAGCGGGCGGAGCCCCCGCTGGGCGCAGACCTGCAGGCGACGGCCGGGCCGAGGTGCGGCGCTCCCGGAGCGATCCGGTGCGCGAAGTTACGAGCTCAGCCCGCGCCCAGAGCTCGTGGGATCCCTTAATCCCGTGGAACTTAAACACGGGCTTCTTAAAATATAATTAGCCTAAGCTCAGAAGGCTGCTGGCAGCGCCATCGCGTTATGCAACTGCAGCTCCTCTGTGTCGGGGCAGGAGGATGTTTAGAGCCCTGTTTGGTTTATCCCGTTTCCTGGCCGCGGGACGTCTCTCCCTACGCTGACCTACCTGCCTGTTTCTTTTCTCTCCTTCCCGCCAGCTGCTCTCAGTGCTGAACCCCGGCGTCCCTTCGGGCTGCGACTCGGCGTGCGCCCTCGTCCAGGCACGGCATGGCAGCCAGCGCAGGTGGCGGCGGGGCGGCGGCGGCGGCGGCCGGGGAGCCGGCACACGCGGTGTCGCTGCTGCGGGGGCTGAGCGCGCTGCGGGCGGAGCGGAGCCTGCTGGACGTGACGGTGGTGGCGGGCGGGCGGGAGTTCGGGGCTCACCGCGCCGTCCTGGCCGCGGCCTCCGGCTATTTCCGCGCCATGTTCGGCGGGGCGCTGCGGGAGGCGCGGGCCGAGCGGGTGCGGCTGCACGGCGTGGAGCCCGAGTGCCTGTCGCGCCTCCTCGACTTCGCCTACACCGGCCGCGTGGGCGGGCTGGGCCCCGACATCGCCGAGCGCCTGCTGCGCGCCGCCGACCTGCTGCAGTTCCCCGCCGTCAAGGAGGCGTGCGGCGCCTGGCTGGCGCGCCAGCTGGAGCCCGGCAACGCGCTGGACATGCAGGACTTCGCCGAGGCCTTCGCCTGCCCCGCGCTGGCGGCCGCCGCGCACCGCTTCATCCTGCGGCACGTGAGCGAGCTGGGCGCGCAGCTGGAGCGGCTGCCGCTGCCGCGCCTCCTCTCCTACCTGCGCGACGACGGGCTCTGCGTCCCCAAGGAAGAGGCCGCTTTCCAGCTGGCGCTGCGCTGGGTGCACGCCGACCCCGCCGCCCGCGCCCCGCTGCTGCCGCAGCTCCTGGCGCACGTCCGCCTGCCCTTCGTGCGCCGCTTCTACCTGCTGGCCCACGTGGAGGGCGAGCCGCTGGTGGCCCGCTGCCCGCCGTGCCTGCGCCTCCTCCAGGAGGCCCGCGACTTCCAGGCCGCCCGCCTCGACCGCCACGACCGCGGGCCCTGCGCCCGCATGCGGCCCCGGCCTTCCACCGGCCTCGCCGAGATCCTCGTCCTCGTCGGCGGCTGCGACCGCGACTGCGATGAGCTCGTGACCGTGGACTGCTACAACCCGCGCACCGGGCACTGGCGCTACCTGGCTGAGTTCCCCGAGCACCTGGGCGGGGGTTACAGCGTCGCCGCCCTGGGCAATGACATCTATGTCACCGGTAAGGCGCAGTGCGGCTGGGGGCGGGCGGTCTGAGTCCTCCGCACCGTGAGGGCCTCTTCCAGGACAGAAGTACCGGCGGCCATGGGAGCCCGCTTCCCGCGCAGCACCTGCCTCCCCTGCTGCTCTCTTGAGAACGTTTCTGCTCCTGTAGGTGGAGAAGCAGCCGGGCTGGCTGGCTGATGCTGCGCGCAGGGCTGGAGCAGCACGGGATCGAGAGCAGCCTGTGCATCTCTGTCTTAACGTTTGTTCTGGGTCATTAGCAGATGTTCAGGTAGGGGGCTGGTAGGAAAAGGCAGCTGCATCTTTGGGTAGGGCTTAAGAAGGGCAGGCAAAAGTGTGAATCGGGAAAGCTTATGTGAAAACGTCAGTGTTGAGACTCCCATTGAAAATACTGGGTGATTGCTGTGAGAATTGGCTTTCGATAGAGGAGCGAAGAATCTGAAACTGCTCCAGCACAGCGAGGCTGGAGCCTGCAGAGGAGCAGAGGCTCCTGGAGGTGGTGCTGGGTGAGGATTTAGCAGCTGATCTCAATCTGGGAGGTATTTGGTTGTGACTAATACTTCTGAGTATGCAGACAAGTCACAGAACTCGCGCTGGGGAAACTTTCAAACTGTTTGCTCTGGATGATGTGAGTGACTTGAGAGGGGCTTTGGATTTCTGGCTGCAAAACAAGTGTTTGGGTCCAGAGCCTGCGAATCACAAGCCAGGCGTGTGCTGAGACAGGGGCGTGTTGGAAGGCTCTGGGAGCAGATGAGGCACTGAGGAGTGGCAGCAGAGTGCGTGAGTCACTGTGTCTCCCTCAGCACACACCCTGCCTGCCGATGGTCTGCTGGGGCTGTAATTACACCTCTAAAGGTGACACAGATGTGTAACTTGGTGCCTAACCACATATAGGTACTTCTTTGAGCTAAATCCCCGCGCTCAGAGTGGCAGTCCTGCGGCTGGCACAGTTGTGTGGGATGTGCTGTTAAAGATTTGAAGTGCAGGTGGAGTGGAGTTGAACAGAGAATGGTTCATTCTCTGATTTTAGCAGGAAACAAAGCTTAGATTTCAAAGGCAGCAGTGTGAAGAGGAAGATCAGTTTGTATTGATGCCTTTACGTCCCTTCCAGAGCAATGGCAGGCAGATCTGGGGGTGCTCTCTGCTGAGAACCCTGCACTTCAGCCAGGCTGCTGCTGCTGGAGGTGGTTCTGTGCAACATCAGTGTCACTGCTCGGGCGGCGGGGAGGGCTGGGAGGGCTCCATGCTGCTAACAGCAGCAGCGCCTTGGCGTCTGGGTGCTGGTGAATGTTAATCTCTGCTATGTACAGCAGCTTGTGGACAGCAGCAGAGGAACTGCGAAATGGAAAAGCCAGTGGTTATTTAGAACAAAGGAGGATACTTGTTTTGAATCACTGCTGAATAGACACTAGGAATGCCATGGGAGAATTCCTTCTTGGCTTACTGGGAATCTGGGTCAGAAATAGCGCAGAAAGTTTGGTAACATCTTCTCACTTCTGGTCTCCTGGGATCTAACTGTGTCCATAGCGCGTGGCTCTGCGGAGCAGAACAGTGCATGTGGATATTAAGGAGGTGTAGCTGGAAGATACGATAGAGTCCAGTTCAGAGCCATGCCCTCTCCTCTATCTCCACAGAGTGCTTTCCTTCCAGGGAATATTTCTGTGAAACAGCACTCTTGAAATGTTTTGTGTTGTGCTGCAGGGGGATCGGATGGATCGAGGCTGTACGACTGTGTCTGGAGATACAACTCCAGCGTGAACGAGTGGACAGAGGTGTCCCCAATGCTGAAAGCCAGAGAATACCACAGCTCTACAGTCCTGGATGGCCTGCTGTACGTTATCGCCTCCGACAGCACAGAGCGCTACGACCACTCTGTGGACAGCTGGGAGGCCCTGCAGCCCATGCTGTACCCCATGGACAACTGCTCCACCACCTCGTGCCGAGGCAAGCTGTTCGCCATCGGCTCTCTGTCTGGCAAGGAGACCATGGTGATGCAGTGCTACGACCCTGACAGCGACCTCTGGTCCCTGGTGAACTGCGGCCACCTGCCTCCGTGGTCCTTTGCCCCAAAGACCGTGACTCTGAACGGGCTCATGTACTTCATAAGGTGAGCAGTGGCAGCAGTTACTTCCCCTGTCTCCCTGCTTCTGCGCCAGGTCAGCCAAGGGTTTTTCCTGGGAAAGCGTGTGGGTCTTGGGAGTGGTCACACGAGGTACTGTGTCACGAAGGCAAGGCAGCGCTTCCTCTGCTCTGCAAACTACCACGCTTCTTCCTTTTAGTTCTGTCACAACTAAACCTCAAGGACATATGTTTGAAGTCCTGTAAAAATATCTGAATTTTAAAGCTAGGGCTGGGAAATAGCCAGGGTTACAAATCGGGCTGACGTTGGCAGTTGTGCTTGGAATAGACTTCTCAGTTTTCTTGGCTTCTGGTTCAGTCCCCCTTGTTGCTATAAATAAGTGAGTAAGCTCCAAGAAAACGTTGAACTGTAGCATAGCAGAGGACACCCTCTGTCTCAGCAGAGGTAGGAGGAATGAAGATGAACTGATTGGTCCCTATTTTTAAGCACCTTCCCAATTTGGGATGTAATTACCTTTCTGCAGCCATCCCGGCGGAGGCAGCAGCTCTTTGTTCTGAACCATTTTGAGGAGGA